TTAATGGCATTGCTTATTTGTGTGGTATATACTCGTGTCATGATAGGTTAAGTAAGTAATTAAGACACTTTTTAGTGTCAATATAAAGTTTGGAGTTTTACGGTGAAATTTTACCGGCTCATCTACAATGACACTAGTCAAGAAAAATTCTCTCCGTTTATTTTTTATTTTTCTTTTTTGATTGATAAAAAATAGTTCTCCTCTATCAAAGATTACCTTTAAACAAAAAAATATATAAAATTGAAACTTTCATGCATATCACTCCTTTAACTAATTGTTTACAAAATACTTCAAACATGATGTGGGAACTCTTCATAAAACTTGATGATAATAACCCATCCTTAAGATTTGTCAAAATCTAAAACCATTTAGCTATTATTTAAAATTCCTAATCTACTTGATAAAAGAGCCGCATAATCTTTGATGGTAGAGCTTAAACCGTGGCTTGCTTCCCCTTCTAATAAAACTTGAACATGTGATTTCCTTCCAAACTGTCCGATCAAGTAAACCTAAAACAAGCAATTTAACTTCAATTACTCTATGGAACCACAATTTCAAGACAAACATATGAATAAGTTATCAACATTCAACTATAAGATCCTAACTAAATTCATAATTTTATCACAATACAAAAGGAATCCTACAGAAAAGGACTACTTGTTCAATTGGTGAAATAAATTTGTTGAAGGAATTTAAAGATGTATAAGGCGAACTAGTGTAATAATTGATTAGTACCTCAAATAAAACTGAAAATCTTCGTATAAAACTATTGTAATTCATCATGAAGGCCACGAATCTAGAATCTGATTTTAATAATTGCTTTCGATCCATCCAAGATGCAAATCCGAGAATCAGCAGATCGAAGCTATAAGTAGTTCAACAGGATCCCATGGCGTAAATTGTCAAAAATTATAAATCTTAAAATTTACTTGGCTACTCTATGGACTAATAAAGTAAATGTCATCCACTTGATTGAAGTATGTAAAAGTATCAGTAGGCCATATATTCTTCAAAAAGAGAAAAAGATTGATACAGATTGCTACATTGGTATGATACAAGTTCTGTTGCTCAAAAGTGTTGAAGCAAAATATTTCAAAAAGCAAAGCATCTTACGGTAATCGTTGTGGGCAAATAATTTTAAACTTCTTCTTATCTTACGTGTGTGCTCTAACTCATTGCATTATCTCTCCCATGTTTAGCAAACTCGCCCAATGTTATTAAACTTGAAATAAATAACACATGTTGTAGTCAAAAATTTCTGTGACTAAGAGTTTGTATAGAGCTCGACGCATTCAATTTCTTCATGTCTAGAACCTGCAATACCACCAAAATGCAACAATAGGCATAACAATTTTTCATGACCCCATCACAATGATTAAAGCACAAATTTACCCGCAAACTACAATTCCTTGTCAATCAATTTACTCTTTCGGCAAGAAATACTTCATAAAACCATATCAAACTTGAAACTACTAAAAAAATGTAATGTAAATTTTGAACTACCTATATTAGACTTGGTAGAGGATTCTGAAAAGCCCTCAGAATCTAAACAATTTACAGGCCACCAAATTATCCGTATCTCTAAACAAATTATTTTTCTAACTTGAAAGTCTTCAAATCAACTTGGTTGTGGTCTGCGGGGTCAAGATGTATACAGCCTTCACAATCTAGACTGTTTACATTAATTAATTATGCTTCAAAAAAGAGAAATTCACAAGTTTCGAATACTTCCTGTGCATGATTTGAATGAAATGGGGGAAATGCAGCAACACAAATGCGCATCAAGCAATACTTAAACAAATATTATGTTTGATTCAAATAGTAGTAAAACTTCACCAAAATGGTTGAAAAAGAGACCACATACACGGCACACAGCTTCATCGACACCATTACAAAAAGGGCAATTACCATCCAGATATATATAAATGAAATGATCTCAATGAGATTAATTAGATATGTTAGTACGCATTTAGGAGTCCGCATTTAGGATACTCACCAATCACATAAATCCTACAAAATTGGATGCATTCCAAGTCTCATACTCTCTTCTCAAGATGAACGCACCACATATCTGAATTTAAAGAAAATCACAAACTACTCAACAAACTAAATAGATAAAGACATGGCTTCTAGCATTGAAAAAATAGAATTTTCCCCCCAAATCCACATAATTGATCAGACAAAATCGATTAAAATATTGAACGGATGGAGGAAATTTCAGCACATCATTTGTTGAAAATTTTGCAATTGAAGAGATCTTAATGGAAGTTTTTGGTATTTATTTCAAATTTCAATGGAGGCTTTGGAGAAATGCACTAGTCATCAGATAGTGCACCGAGTCATGAGGCATTGGTAGTCATGGAAGCCTTACCTTTTCTTTTTCTGTTTTGATTTTAATTTTCTTTTTTCATTTTTCTTTTTGGACTTTTTTCAGCAATGCCTCAATAGTCGTGTCACTAAAATTCTAATCTCAGTTATAAATACTTAAATGCCTTATTTGGATATCTTTTATGACAGTTAGTATATAATGTCATAATATCTCATGTTTATTATGGCATTTTATTAACAATGCCTTTATACATATGTCAGGAAAAGTGTACTTTCTTGTAGTGTCAATTTGATTGGTGTAGGGTAATCAGGTTGAGCTGAATGTCAAGCATAATAACATAAAACAATTGCGTTTTTGAGAGGCAACCCATTTAAACTTTCTTTCATTTTCATATGGTTTTATTTTTGTATGGTTTCATTTGTTTTCAATTTTTTCATTAAAAAACAGAGAAAAAATTTTAAAAAAAAACAACAAAAATTTTTCATTTATCATTTTCCTTTTGTTTGTTTACTTGTTTCTTTTCCTTTTGTTTTCAGGAGGACGTATCCTCTCATGATGCAATTGCAGCTACTCTTTACTGTCATTGGCGATTGCTTTCACATCATGAACCATGTAGCTGCTTGAGATATCAACTCCAAGTCTTCACATTTCAAAAGCAATTTTTTAGGGAGCTTCCAAAACTTAATTCTTTTGCAGTTATTATTAATTTACTGATTGCTTTGCTCGCTATTTTTTCTAAAGTAGTTGAGTTGGTTCTTTATAAAGTTGAATGATGTTTGACTGGAATTTTGCACGTCTAAGTGCTATTATGTTTTGTATCTTTTTCTAGCTATGCATTCTTCAATATTGCACTTAAAGATGTTGTTCTAAGCTCCATGCTTACTGCTTATTGTGCAATTACATTGTCTAACATTGAGGACAATGGAAGAATTAGGTGTGGGGGAGGATTTTCTTGTTACTAAATGTTTTCATAAACCCCTACATTGGTTTTAGTGTCAAAATCCCCAAATTTTTTGAAAAACATTGGCTCTCCTTATGTGCTAATTTGTCGAATTATTTCAAATGATTTTGAGCCAAAATGTTTTTGTGTATCCCATTGGTTTTAATGGTTAAGAATGTGCCAGACTTGATGTAAATTTAACCCTTTCCGTGAGTTTCCATAGCCAAAGAGCACGCTTGGTCAATTTCCAAAGGTTATCATTCATAGTATGTTACTACACTATTTTGCTCATGTCATACATTTCATAACTGCATTGCTGAATTTATGCAATAAATGATAAGGGTATCTAGGTTTCGCCAAATTTAGCTATCACAAAATCCTTACCTTAATTGTGTACCCCTAGTAACCATTTCAAGCCTGGGCCTATTTTCGAGCTCCACTAATATAATTCTGAGCCTACTTTTTAACTATCTTTTCACCTGTTATTCGGAGTATGTATGATCACAGCTTGATTTTGGTTTACGGAAAGTGGTTGTGTGGTGGCAATTTAGGTATGGCAGGTTTAGCATGATAGGTTATGTATTCTTGTTTTATGTCCAATAATGTTTTAGCTCTGTATGACAGTGCCGAATGAAAAAAAAAATGAAATGAACAAAAAAATGAAAAAAGTAATATGCTGAAAAAATAAAAGAAAAAAAAGGAAAAAAAAAAAGAAAGAAAAGCACTAGTTTCTGTTTATTGTGCATTCATCTATTTGTATAAGCTTCGGCTTAGTTTCTGTTTTAAGAATTATGGAAAAAAAAAAAGAAAAGAAAAAAAAGGGAAGAAAGGTTTGGTAATTGAATATCTCTTAAAATCGGCTCTCTTGAGATTCGACCTAATTCCACTATTTCTGCAATTTAATTTTAGTCTATTGGAAGATAGATTTATTTTTGCGGGTCTCGACAAACCCGTCAGGTTCGAATTGCTACAATCTGTCAACAACTAGATTGGTTAGAGAGGGCGGAGGGGGAGGAGTCTTTGAAGGTTTGGAACTGATTTGGTATCAACCAATTTAGAACACTATGCGGGAAATTGCAATATATCCAACCTAAGTTGGTCGAAGGTCAACAAGTTGGGCAAATACAAGCAGAAAATGTGAAGGTGGAAGCTGAGTATTGGGAAGCTTCCATTGTTTGTTTTGTCCTGGGTGCTCATCCTCTGCTTTGGATCATGGAGGCGCATTTTAAGAAGATATGGGGAAAGCTTGGAGTTGACAATGTATTACTTCTTCCCAATGGCCTCTTTGTGGTTAGATTTACTACACTACATGCTAGGGTTGAGGTATTAAGTGTGAACTTCTATCATTTTGATTCTAAACCATTGATTTTAAAGTATTGGAACATAGATAAAGGGTAAAATTACTCTGATGTAGAAAGAGTCCCTGTGTGGATTTAGTTACATTGTTCAAAACTTAAGTACTGGGGTATGAATTCACTTAGTCAAAAGGTTAGCTCAATTAGTTGTCCCATTCTTGGTGATGAGTATACTGTCAACAAGAGTAGAGTCCAGTATGCCATAATATTAGTGAAAATGGAAATTAAAGACTCTGTGTCTAACAAGATTGTGTTTGAGGATGAAACTGGTGATGTTAGGGTCCGAAAAATCACTTCTGAGTGGGTTCCTACGAAGTATAATCACTGTCAAGGGTTTGGGCACCTAACTGGACAATGTAGAAGGAGCAAACAAAATATGGAAAAGCAACCCAGAGATGTTCAGGCTCTTTGGAAAAGAGTGGAGAAAGATAAGGAACAAATTCAGAACCTGGGGAGTCCAGAAATTGTCAAAGGTGCTGAGGTTCACTCTGCAGCGATCTCTCCAATTGAAGGATGCTACAAAGGGCCATGTGTAGTTGACAGTATACTGAACCCTAGGACAATAGATGATCATATGGTTAAGAAAATGATAAACAAAAAAGTGGTTCTTGGTGTCAAAGATACTCAGATAGCAACTGTTGAGCAGACTCTAACAGAGATAGCCAAAAAAGTTGCTTTTCAGCTTAGACGACACTGGGACTTCAGTCAGAAGACGTGGTGATAAGTTGATTTTGCTAAGAGACTTGGGACCTAGTAATCATGGATAGTATCATCTCCTAGAATGTAAGGGTTTTGAACTCTTCCCTGAAACAAAAAAAGGTTCAAAGGATGATGAAAACAGTTAAGGCGAATATGATTTATTTAGTTGAGACAAAAATTGTTAAGAAAAGAGGAGAGAGGTATGCTCAGCAGTACTGGAATGGGTGGAAGTGGTTAAATAATTATGCCAGTCATGATAGAGAATTATGTTATGATGGAATGATGAAGTAGAAGTACAAGAAATGAAACAAAGTGATCATATGCTACACTGTTAGTGCAGACATAAATCAAATAACATCAGGTCTCTGTTGACTGGCGTGTATGCTTCAAATGAACCAGAAAAGAGATCTCAGTTATGGTCTGATTTGATAACACTGTCCAGGAGTATAAAGGAACCATGGTTACTGTTAGGAGAGTTCATCTTTGTCTCGAAAATAATGAAGCATTTATAGGAATTTTTGAAAAATACACAGCAAATGAATCATGCGGTATCTTATCAGCAACATAATGTGGTAAACGGTTTAAATTTGAAGTTGAGACTCATATAAGTAAGGTACAACTGAAGGATGGTGATATTTTTGCCCTAAATGAAAAGGTTAGGGAGTTGGAAAAGAAACTGAAGAAGGTAAGTATACCTAGGAAGAAGACTTAACCTTTATTCCTTCTGTCCTTTATTGTTATTAACCCTTTTGTGTTCAGTATTTTTCTCTATTGTTATACCAAATGAATGACTTTAATTTGCATGTATGTCTGAGCTTCGAATCAATTGTAAGTAGTTGTCTTGTCTGAGCCAGGTCACTGGTCTTCTAGTGGAACATAGATTACACACAAGTCTTAAGAGTTGTGTATGTGAATTCTAGCATGGGAATGGATTTGTTTATATTGCTGTCAAAAAACAAATACACGGCTAGAGCCAGAAAGTAATAGGCCTCATCACAACCACATTCATTGGTGTAAGATTTTAATCTGAGATCGATTTTCTCTCTTGTAGGCATAATATGTGCATGCAAATGAGAAATCATGGTCCTATGAACTTACATGGCACACTTTCTTTTATTAATATATAGCTTAAAACATGATAGTATGTACTTAAAAGGTGAGGATTTATGTGAAATGAATATATCAACTTTGCTCTTTAGGGTCATTTTGTAGGTTTGTTGACGTGAATTTATTTGACCAATAGTGAAAACTATAGGCAAAACAAATTCTAATGCACAAATGAATATAGATCTTAATTGTAAACATGTGGAAACTTGCCCAAAGACTTGATTCTTCCCCCAAACTACAACAAAATGCATGAAGAGCACAAAGAAGGCAGAGCCACAGAAACTCTAACGAAAAGAGATGGAAAGATAGAAAAGAAGAAAAGTGATGTTGATGGAACTCGAAGAGTAACGACTCTATCAACCCCCGCCTAAAGATTATGATGACGATGGATAGATGTGCTCCCTTACAATGACAACTAAAAAACTCCACAAACAAGGACACTATTCTTGGATGCACATTCGTTACCTAATGCAAAATACTAGATCTTGCAAAAAGCTAAATAAACTCGAAAGGTCAAAGAAACAAGGAGTTTTACTCTCAAGTTTGTATTGAACAAATTCATCTAAGTACATCTGAAAGCTGGCCGAATAAACCCTATTTATATTAGAAGGTTTGCCAAAATTCTCCTAAGAATTAGCAGAAGAATTTGATCTCTAACTCTATTCCTACTTTAATGAACTAGAAATCATATTAAACTCTAATTGACAGCTCGTGTTTTATCTATTAAGGCAATGTATCTAGATGCCTTTATAGATTTAATACACATTGGTCTAATGAATATAAAACTCCTAATACGAAGAGATATGCTATCAAAAGAATTTTATCCTTATCTCAAAAAGTCTTTTTTAATTAGGAGTTGACAACTCAGGAAAATTCATTTCAAGATAAAGATAGAAAAGATAATCTATTTAGGAGTTGACAACTAAAAATTCGAACCCAACTTAGAAGAAAAGATAACTTATCTCATTAAGCAATGGTTAATGAAAAAAAATACCCTTAAACAACTTTACTAGGGAATTCGGTCGATATGACAAATTTTACCTTAATAGACTCAAATACTAATTATATATCTACATAGAGTTAATTCCCCATTTATTCTAAACTATAAATAAAGTAACAAAGTCAGAGATCGATACCCTTTAAGTTGCAAACCACTCTTGTATACAACTCTTCCTCGTATATATGTTGATAAAAACTTTATTACCAACTTCAATAATTGAGGCAAATATGGTCATATATGAAACTTTTATGTAGACCTATATTCAAAAGGAAAAACTAAAGTAATGAAGGTGCATACTTATTTGAGGATGTGTCTTTAATGCTTGTCTTTTGTTTTCTTCTTTTTTTTCTTAATTAACAAACTCAATAGAATCAATCTTCACAATTGAACTATTACTTTCACTAGAATTATCACTTTAAGAAACAAGTCCCAAGGTAAGATTACCATTATCTTCTTGACAATTAAGTGAATTGAATCAACTGCTGCCCAATATGTCATTGTAAAACCAATTATTCTCTTCTTGAAAGGATAATAGGACCTCTATAAGACTACTTTCTTATCTCCTATCCAAGTAGAACTCCGATGAGAACATATAATTCTTATCATCATCCCCTTCTTGAAAGGCTCATCCTTGAATCACAGAACTTCATACTTGCAAAATGAGTAAACTAAAAATTATGGCTAGTAGTAAAAGCTTCACCCTCATCACTACTTATAACTCTCTCAAGTCTGCAATTCTTCTTTTTGGCAACACTTTGATTCTCTTGCCTCGATATGACCTAGCATGCCCATTATTTATTTCTTTCAACATCACTCACTTGAAATTTTCACTCACTTTGTTAATACCTCGCAAGTTCATATCTTTTACCAGACATAGCAACAACTCCAATGTCATAAATATCAAGTACACGGGCTCATCATAGATCCAAGCAATCACAGACTGCTTGCTTATCATTTTGCCACAGCATCCCCCCAACAAAATATCATACAAAGGGAAGTATGTATAGAAAAATAGATTCCTCATAACCTTCAACAATAAGTTTCACCTTGGCTTGTTTAGTCACCTGTACTTCTAAGTTACTATGTATCAAATCCAAATTATAGAACTAATTGAGCGCTTCCATATGAAGATGGGAGCGAAGACAAATGCTTCATTTATGAAAGTACAACTCTCCCACCATCTACCAGTAAAACCAAGTCATCCGTCCATCCTATGGAACACATAGCATGAAACACATGATGCCTTTGAGTATTGTTACAAAGTTAGTTCTAATAGAAAATCTATGATCCCTAAAAGAATCACTCGAAACAAATGTATTCCACCCTAGTGTAGCTTCACGTTTCTTATCAAACCTTGAAGCGGCATGGTATGCCGTCTATATAGAATTTTGCTCCATAATAGAATATTTTTCTTTATTCATGTCATTCAAACTTGAAGCTCTACGCTAGAGACACTACAAGCCATAACTTGAAAAGTCGTTGAATACGTCCTACCTTCATCAATGATCCGATGGAGAAATCCCCTCGGCTATCTTTCACATCCGCAATTTCCTCCCTCAAAACTCCAAATTCAAGCTCCAAGTTCTTCAACTTTTCACTAGATATATGGCTAACAACACATTAAACATTGCCAGACACTTCTTCGCCCATATTTTTGTGATAACAAAAACCCCAAAAATCAAAGTAAGATTCGAAAAAGACACTCGCCAAAATCAAAACTCTCAAACACTTTAAGAAACACTATAAAAACATCACGGAAAAAAAATCAACTCAAGCAAGACTAGTTTTCTTTAAAAGCTAATTGTCTATCACAAGAAGAAGAAGAAAAGCTTTTTAAAATAAAGTGTGAAAAATTTTTGGGCACTGCCTCCCTATTTATATGAAAAACAATGACTTACCATTCAAGAAATGTCAAACTCCTTAATAGAATTAAACACAAACACTTTTTAGTAATTTTCTTTTTAAAACCATCTTGATTTTTAGTCAAGAAAGACATGATTTTTTGTGGTAGATAGACTTGCTTGTATGCCTTCATCAGGGTGATCCAAAATTTTCAATCAATTTTCTAAACTCCCTAATTTTATGAAGGGTCTTGTGTTATTAGGTCAGAGGCCTTATCAGGGTGGTCCGAATTTTCAATCAATTTTCTAAACTCCCTGATTTTATAAAGCGTCTTGTGTTATTAGATCAGAGGACATTCCCTCATGTAAGAAGTATGTAGTTTTCTTGTTGAAAAAATAACTTTCTTCTCGTCTATTGTAATTTTTTTTAGTAAGTCATATGTGCTGCTCGCCTTTAAATAAATTGTGTGCAATACCCACGAGGTACCGTCTTGGTTCAACAAAAAAAAATGTAAAATAAAAATTTCTTTTTCAAAAAAAAATAACATGCACAATATTTCTTTCTCTGAATACCTCCAGAAACAAAAATTTTGAACAAAAATAATCAAACAATGTAATGAAACTTTAGTTGTTCACTGAAAATCCTTTTTCACATTGTAATTGAGCTCACAAAAATTCCAATTTTACAAGCACACATATTTCATCCATCCATGTTTAGATGGAACTATGGCTTTCAAAAAACAAGATAGGACTATGATTCACTTTTGTATAGCCCTTTCCACAACAAATTGAATTGTACACAAATTATAAAATTATAAGACTCTCATATAATTGAATGATTTTCAAGTAAGTAATACTAAACCTAATATGGTTAGGCTTCTCAAATATTCACATGCCACAAATAAAACATTTAACCATGAAGAAACTCCAATAAGGTTATTTTCCTTAATAGGTCTCTATCATTGAATATTAAACAAATACTGCCTCCATTAGTGCCTTATAATTAGGACCAAAGGGAGTAAAAATAAGATACTTAATACCAAAGGTTTTAGAATCTCAATCCTGCTTAAGACCCCTTTGGGCTTATAGAATCGGATTGTAGATTGGAGGGGTATGATTGGATTGATAGAATTATAAAATATTTAAAAAATAAAGTGTATATTTCTTGTATATAACTATGAAAATCCATATTGAACTTTTATGTAAAAAAAAAAAAAGAGAATGAACGATATTAAACTTTTTTGTAAAAGAAAATATGAAAATTCATAATTATTCTAAGAGTACATATATTTTTATTCTAGGAGGTTCAGAGCAGATATAGTGTATTACAAGAATGATTCATTTTTTGATTCAGTTGGAAAATGGCTCCAGGAAGACCCCTATTCCCTTCCTAATGTTACAATCAAAAAAAGATGTTGGGATGTTATACATTTCTGGTCATCGAGTCTATTTCCGTGGAATACAATGCGTGCAATAGAATAAACCAGTTATATCATTGGTTCAACCCAAGAACTTTTAGAATGGCTGTCACTCTATAAACCTGGAAAACAATTAACATAATGGGAGTCGCTTTATAAAGTCAAGGAAATGGGCTCCCCAAATTGTTATGCTAATGCCTTCCATTATGTGAAGTGAGGGCATCTATAATGAGAGACGATATCTCTAGATTAGAACATATGGAGAGTACAAGAAACCAAATTTCAAACCCGATGTCAAGATCTTCATCTATGACTACAAGCATACCAAAAGAACAAATGAAGAAGCAATTCGCCAACAGTTTAGAGATAAAACCTCTCGTAGCGACTATCAACTTATGCAGTTCTCTTAATTCCGGACTTCCACATAGGGTATTTAGGGACCAAACCCTAATGAGTACAAAGCAATTGAAGCAAGAAAGGTTGAGAACAAGCCCCTGAATCTACATGGACTATTGGTTTTGGGTTATGACCTAATTGCATAGTCTTATCTTTGCATGGGTGCATTTGGCAAGTCATGGGGTCACAAAGGTCATATTAAGGGAAAAAGAGATGTCGTTTTTAATTTCTAGTAACCCATAGATGCTAAAGTAAAGTTAGTTCAGTGAGTTTGAGAGTTTTTTTTTTTATTATCTTAGTTCTGGAATGTCTCTTGAAATTTTGGGGAGTATGATTTCTAACGTGTAAAGGTAGAGGTGGTGCCTACTGTACCTATCATTATTATTGAGAAAATAATAGCTACTAGGATAGAGTTCTCTCTATAGTCACCTCATCGGATGAAATTTAAAACACCACTTTGTAGGGTTATTAGTTCTATGTGTTGAATGCTTGGTATTTACATGGTGGTAAAATGTGATATTTCTTTTAATTATCATTTAAACGTTAATTTGATTTTGTAAAAGTAAAAAAAAAAAAAGAGTAAAAGAAAATTTTAATTTGGTTATGCGTGAAAGTGTTGATAATAAAATAAGAAACCACTTTTATAAAACTAAAACTGTAAAAGATCCATGTATGAAAAATTTAGTTATCCATTTTATCCCTCTTTATCTACTCACCATCATCCTCCTATACGTTCTCTCTCTTGTCTGTTCTCTCTTTTTTTAGCAGCATATCCCCCAAACCCCATCCCCTCCCCCTTGCGAGAATGCAAAATTATGTGTGGAATCACAAATTCATGTATGCTATAAAGAAATATTGTGAATCTGAGACTCATGACCAATTCACCTCTTCAATTTTTGATTTAGCTTTTTGTGTATGGTAACATTTTCTTGGAATTCAATTCCTTCAATTTTCACATGTTTTCATGTCCTTGTTTTTCAACTATGAATTTGAACAATCGTTCTAGAACCACTGGAACTAATAGGATCTGATTATCCTACCAATTTTAAATGATACCACCAACTTCATTACGGCTCTAAAAAAAGTTCAATACCATACGATTCGATATCAATTTCCAAACTCTAGATAGTAGGATCGAACAATCATACAATCCGGAGATTTGGAAAACAATGCTTCTTTCACACGAATACTCCAAATAATTATAAAAATTCGCAAGTTTAAAACCCTAGGACGTAAAACCCAAGATCTTTACATATCTTTTTCATACAGACACACACGAAAATAACACATAGAGATAAACCCTAAAAATCAAAATTTCAAACGAGTTGAAATTAAATCCAATATCCCCATGAGTTAACAAACTCCAAAAATTTTGAATATAATTCATTCACAATTACTTACTTATATATGAAGAAAAAAAAAGAATTCTTCATTTGTATAATCATGGAAAGTCTTGAGAGAAGCATTCACTTGGACTAGTTGCAAAGTGAATCGTCCTCGTACGTCACTAAATCTTGAAATCAAATAACATAAAAATCTCCCTAAAGATGTACCAAGTATTCGCACAAAATACACAAAAGAAGACAATTGAAAACGTTGTTTTCACTCAAAATTTGATTTAATTTTTTCCAAAACTCTTTCGAAAAACAAAAGAACCTTGTTCCAACTAGAAAATGATACTAAAGTAAATAGTACTTCGATGGAGCTTCAAACTCAAAACACATAGCCTTGACAAAGAAACGGATACCTTCAGTAATATTTACTCTGAGACAAAAACCTGATAACAATCTCATATAATCAAATATATTAAATGGATCCATCAATAGCAAAGTATGAAATAAAGTCTTCATATGTGAAATTCTAAAAGGGTGGAGAAAGTTCACGAATAAGCTAATTCTTACTCATAAAGCAGCCTATCTTTGAACTCAGTCGAAACATAAACACATAATCCAATAAAACACTCGAATCAAACAACTCCATGAAATGGCAGACAAATCATTCAATATACTCGAACAACCACCCATCTAATAGTCAAAACATTCAGAAGCAAATTAATACTCAACTATAAACAAATATATTCAACTCAATGCTATCTATAACAAGAATAACATGCAATCACACATACATTATTTGATATGGTTAACCCAAACAAACCCATCCAAATAATATGAATTAACTAACAAAGGCAACTCATAAACACATATCGTGAATTCTTAAAACTCAAACAGTAAAGGGTGTTCAACCCCTTTGAACACAATCTATAAAAAAATAAAATAATTCGTTTTAAAACAATCTAATCATAAAAAGGCTTTACAAAATCACGAAGACCTTCATTAAAAAGAAAACATACTTGAGAATGGACTTCAACAATGGACTCTGCTATCAAACATTTCATAAAGAACAAATAACCTCCATAAGAAAAACATATTCAATACTCCACTGAACAAGCAACCATCCTCCATATATAGAGAAGATTTCTTGTTCAATAAGAACTAAAACCCTAACTTTAAGGGGAGATTATTTTCTATCCCACACACGGGAAGGGTAAACAAAAGATAATTCTGACTTAAACTCTTAATCATGTCTTCAGATAGAACAAAAGGTAACACATTTTGTTAAGCAAGAGATGATTAAGGACTTTTATTTGGGAGCTCGGCCAACATGGCTTGTTTCATCGTAGTAGACTCAAATAACAATAAACTATGTAAAAAGAGTTAATTCTCTATTCTCTTCTAAATATATAAATATTAAGGGATAAACCAAAAAAAAATACAACAACAACAACAAACATTAAGGGATAAAGGCAAAAAATACCCCAAAATTATGTCTTAAATACTGATACTCCCTTGAAGTTTCCTAAAAGGACAACCCCCTCTCAAACTACATCCAAATGGACAGTTTAACCTTCCATCAATGGAATAGTGACTACTTGTGAAATAAAAATGCATAAAATGATATCAATGCCCTTTTCAGATAAATACTTTCTATTTTTTTTTTTAATCAGAAACTCCTAGAAGAGAGACCGTGGCAATTATATAAATGCAGAATCGATATTCAGATGACGAAATCTAGCATTAGCAACTTCTAAGGTAATATTGATTACAGAACACCAGACGATATCATTCGTTTGGCAAGAAGAATCACTTCAATTTCATATTCTAAACACCAAACTTGATGTTGAATACAAAAATAGGAGATTCAACTTATGTAATTACTTTCTCCAAATTGATGATAAACAAGTAATCTTTCCATTGAGTTTGATATGTTAATTGTGCAGATCGTTTTTCTCATATTCTTTGCATAATCCCTAAAGGAGATTATTGTATTATGTTCATTTGTCCCCTAATTATCGACAAGCTTAAATGATACTACAGAAGGATCCATTTACAACCCAAACATTAAGACATTTCCTCAATAATGACAAGCATTAAATCACCGTCAGTTTGCTGTTTCATTAACCCGTTCAGCTCTAACTCCATTGGCAATTGCATGAAGGCCTCCTACCTTGGCGCTTCCTCCAACTCCAGCAACATTGTTGTTTGGTGCTTGATTTGCCAATTGGACTATGGCTGGAATGTCCAATCCTCCTCCATTAACCCGTCCAGCTCCTTTTTCCTTTGCAGGATGGCCTCCTTCCCAATTATCATCAGATTCGAACTTCTTCCACTCCCAATTTATGTACCGAAAAATACCTTGCAGCTAATCCAGAGAGGCAAACAACAAAAGTCACTATAGTTTGCTTACAAAACCAGTGCTTCTTACCAAATTTAAAGAGTTAGGTATAAGTAGAATAAAAAAAGACTATAAAGACCCAAATCCCATGGAGATAGAAATAGGGCTTGGTAGAAGATAAAATTAACGCAAACAATAGAAATAGCATTGATAACTCCTTGGCAGTCTTTTCAACTTCTCCCACGAAGATTAGTGCCGCTGCAGCTAACACTTCCATAAACAAATCATACACTAGATGCATCTTCCGCCCAAAGATACTTAGAGGTGCTATCCACCTACAGACCACACCAAGAACGACGGTAGCCACAACACTTAAAGACAAGCATGTTTTTTGAAATAGTTTAACTCAGAAACAAATAAGTACGCCCAGCCATGAACTCCGATACTCAACACTACAACAGTAACAACAGAAGTTCATTTGTCAGGAAGGTAAAAAATGTCAAAAAACAATTAACGAGAAGGGCAAAAAATTTTATGATGTAAGGCAAGATTTGCACAATGATACCACCAAGAACGGTGAACAAACTGGGATTCACCCGTTGCTCAGTAGGCGTGGTCACATTCAGTGGTGGCATGGTCCCGGATTCTAGGTCGCCCTCGTGCTCATCCACGATACCTTCAACCAACACGTCCTCCGAAATTACTTTCTATTTTATTTTATTAGAAATTGTCATTTTGAAATAAATTTATTTTGTTATTGGGGAATTAAAAAGACTCCAAACCTATGCCAAAATTCCAGATGCTCCCTTGAAATATTTTTGAAGTACTACAATGCTTTTGACAAGAATTTAATTATAATTATGTTATTACTCCGTTTTGTTTTAACTACCACTTCCGTTAGTGCTCTTTTTTATTTAGCAACATATCTTCATAATTTATGCAACTGATAGTGAAACTCTGAACGTTATAAATCTCCTATTTAAATTTGTGAATTTTAAAATTTCTATTTTATGGATATGCAATCTAAATATTTTAGTTACAGACACTAAAAATGATGATGTCACCACTCGGTTATTAATGGATCTGAATATAGTTTGGAGTGCTTTTTATCTTTACACTTTGAAAATTATAAGCAAGTTTGATTTATATTTGTCAATTCAATTTATGAATTTTTCAATAAAATAACAATAATCATCTTGGTTTAATCATTTCACACCCTTAGACTATTTACTTCAAACTTATGGTTGTCAAGGGGGTTTATCCTTAAAAGAAAATTCGAGGGGGGATCCATATTTGGGACATAGTTTGGGACGAGGGGGATTTTGTCTTTATCACACTTTAACTAACAAAGTCGGAAACACTTTTGAAGTCTGAACCCAACCTTGGACAATTTTTCACATAGATGTTTATTAAGATTTCATCTTCAACTTCATTAATTGAGATGAATATGATCATACATAAATTTTGCATATAGATCTGGATAAAAACACAATACTAATACATTCGAGAATGAGTCTTCAATGCTTGTCATTTGTTTATTCTTTGAAACAAACTCACTATGATAAATATCTACAATTTCACGATTACTTTCACTTAGATCTTATTTTGGAGCAAGTCAGAAGATAAGGTTATTATCATTTTCTTGACAATCAAGAGAATTTAATCCACTATTTATGCAATATAATTGACGTTTTCCATCTTGAAAAGGCCAATATTACCAACTCTTTTATCTTTATTAAGGTGTTTTTAGTTTAAGGGGTATTTGTGGCCTAAAACTATGTTTACAGAGTTTCTTTTCTTTTCTTTTTTTTTTTTTTTTTGAGTTTGAGGTATTGAAGATTTCATGAATTACTTTCCTTATCATTGGATTTCTAAAATAAATAATGCAATCTCACTTTTATCTTAAAGTCATTTTGGACGAAAAAAAAATGAATAAAATAAAAGAGATAAGATAACTTTGGACATATGTGTTCCATTGAAGACAACGACAAGCTTACCGAGTTAGATTAATCACTATTCTAGTACTATTGTAAATTTTGGACCCATGTGAAAAATTAATATCTAAGACAATAACAAGTTTACCGAATTGTTTTGATAACAATTTTTGTCCTATTGTAAAATTTAGTAGTCAATAGCTACCAGTTTGCATGCCCGCCTGCCTAACGAAATTTTTCATTGTCGCCTTGGATAACCTCTCAATTATGCACAGATCATAGTTGAATCTTTGAGCGAAATCCTCCTCCAAGTGTTGTTCCTCAAGTTGCATATAATTATAAAGGTTACCTTATTTTTTTAAGTAGATATATAAAAACATCCATACTAAATTAACTCCCAATTTGAATTCTAATATTGGTTGGACCCTGCCAATCCAACCGACATCTTTTCATCAGGTCCAAAGCAATCGCCATTGCTGTAAGCTACCAATTTTATCAATTCATCATCCATGTTCCAATGTCACATCCATTGCACAATCTTTGCAACTATTGATTACAATTTTTCTCTTTCTTTCCAACACAGTAACCAAACAGATTTTCCTTGTTTGACTATCATGTTTCATCTTAATTTATGTTCTCAATTTCTTTTCAGCAAATTCACCCTGTCTAATTTTTATTTTTATTTTTTTATAATTTTCTAAACGTAACAATTTATGAACTTTGTTTTGTGCAATTCCTTTTGTATTTGTTATTTAAAAAGGTTGATGACATGGCAGAAAGCGGATGTTGTTGTTTGTTCTGCTATGACACCCATGCTAGAGGAGGAAAATTGAGATTAAAATTGAGGTTGTTATAAATATCTAATCATGTAGATATCCACAAAGGCAGAAGAGTTATGTAAAAAATTAGTTGTATAGAGATAATATTAAGTTAGCTCTTATCATTAGTTAAATTTTATCATTGTTTGCTCTAATTCTTCTATATAACTCCTCTATAAAAAGATATTAGTCTCTGCAGATTAATCATATAAATTCTCTATCAAAACTTGTTCTCTCCAAACTTGTTCTTTCACTACAGTTCCATATCTTTCATTCTTTTAGTGTTTTTCATAACACGCTATCCACATGAATCTCTATCCAACTGAGAATATTTTGATCCATAGATCAGGGCGTACCCTAAGTTGATTTTGATCCGTAGATCAGATAGTACAGTATTTTTTTTTCTTGTTTGTCTTTCTATTAGAAAATCTTACACCACAAGAATTTATTACCTACCATGAATATGGTATGGTATAAAAACTTTATTTATGCAATATTACTATTGTAACATCGGATACAACCAAGTGCTCCTATAGTAGCCATATCTATGATAAATTTTTCGTATATTGAATCGCCCCATTAGTAGAAATTTCATAAAAAGATTGGAAGAGATTTTTTTTTTCATTTCTTGAAGTAAGTGGATTTGATATATTAGAGTATGATGTTCATATAAACTGACCACTTGAAGCAGTAAATATGAATAAAGATGGACGATATAATTTTTTTTTATCGATATGGCAAAAGACTAATGATATGATTGAGCCTAGTATACAAATAATATCGTTAGTCAAGATATATTATAAAAACATCACGAACCACCAGAGGTTGGAAATTAGTGGTGAAAGAAAATGACTAGTTATTCAAAAAATTTCAATGATTGGATGAATTTACATTCACGAGATTTTTGAATTCATAAGTTTAACATAGAATTGCTCATAGAGAAGTAGTTTATGATCTTTTTGTTAAATTTACTAATATGGTTTTGTTAAGAAAAATCACGAGCCCTTCATTTGAGAATTTGTCACTTTTTGAAGCAAGTGGAAAATTATTTAATTTGCAAGTTAAGTTGCAGACAATGAATCTACTACAATAGCAGGTCATATATAAAATATAATTTCTCACCCAAAATGAAATATTAATGGGAAAAATAATTAGAAATTGTTGCTGAAGTAGGGATTCATTTTTTGTTAGTATTAAATAAATTATCAAATTTTTTGTTGAAAAGTTGTTAGACTCGTCCAATTGTTAAATTATTGCATTTCTTGAAGAAAATGCAACAACCAAAAATACTACTAATCACCAGAAGTGGGAAATTTCAATAAGAATAAGATAAATCACTAGAAGTTGAGAAGCCCAAGAAAGCAAAAGGTGCTCTATGCCGATGACCTGCCTTATTTTCTGTCAAGAATCAGAAAACTCACTACTAGAAAACCCCCTGTATAAAGACACTTGCGTTAAGACATAAAAACTTGTATGTACTAAAAAATATAAAATTGAGGCATTTTTTTATTACTACACTTGTGGAAAATTTATTAAGACACTTGAATAAATATGTCATAATAGAATGTCTTTATTGAGACACTTACTAAATTCTCACAACTTCACTTAAATTGTATCTCTAAATTTCTATTTAAAAATATAAAATATAAAATATTGTTTTATTTAAATGACAAGTGACTAAAGAAAATGGTATCTTGAAAAGGATTCCTAAAATTGATAGTCCTTTTATATTTTCTTGAGTATTTCGCAATTATAAGCAACAAGATCATACCACAATTCCAACTCTTTCAATTAGTATGAAGTAAAAAGAAATTCATGTTCCAAAAACAGCCTTCGTAAAAGATATTGTTACATGGGTAATCTTCTATTTCCACAAGAACCAATGAAAGTACAACTTGATTACAATTGTCTCACCGATCAAGTAAATATGAGATATAAAATATGATCTGCATCAATTTGACAAGCACAAAAGTTGCCTCAAATAGAAGTGAATCTATTAAACAATGGAACTAACTTACAAACCTCAACATTTTCTTTTCTGCATTTTTCTAAACAAATGGACTAATTTGGGGACAATGCAAATGAATTCTTGAACAACCACAAACTATAACTGTTGCATCAATTTTCAATAATTTTTAAACAAAAAAAAAAATCTCATCCATAGGATCGAAGTAGCTCGATGAAACTAATGCTTTGTTGGCTAAAGGCCTTGGATTGGCAGAAATAAAAAATTTCATGAACACCAACGAAACAAACTCATTAACATGTGAGTTCTCTTCTTCACAAAAGACTAATCAACTATTGGATAAGGAGATTGCAACACATCCAGCTGAAACTTGCATTTTTGATACTCTGTCTGCAACTAGCTGCTTCAAAAATATAAAGGTAAAAAAAACATATTAGAAATTTCAAACTCATAACTTGTTCCAAACTGGACAAGAATATTTTTAAAATGGTTAGAGTTTGAAACTACAACTGAAACACGTAAATTACATAGTAAAATATAAAGAAAACAACAAAAAGTGCCTGAAGACGAAGAAGCAAAGTTCGTTATTAACGTGAATGTTTACGTCTTTTTAAGCTCTTTTCTTTTTCTCTGTTGATGTCTACTTCAACTCCTTCGGCATCTATACGTGACCAAATGATTTCATCCCTCTCGTCAAGAACTGTAGGACTGCATAAATTACTCTGCAAGTATGTTTCAACATCCACATCCACATCAACATCAACAACGGGATCCATGTCATAAGTTGCTCGTGCAGTAGTTTGTACAACTACATTCCATTGCTTCTCTTTTGGGTCTTGAACATAGAACACTTGTTGAGCTTGAGATGCTAGAATAAATGGCTCATTGTGGCGTTTCACATTTGAAAAATTAGTCATTGTAAAGCCATCTGCATCTTGTTTCAGACCAGACCTCTTCTGTTAACAGGTCTATATCTCTTGTGTTTTTAACTCTTTTTCAAAATTTATTTTTGGAAAACTCTTCTTCATTGAGTGCAGTTCAATGTGGATTTTACGGATTTCAAAACGGAGTTACGTATTGTTCAAAAAGTGAGTTTAAACAGGACATGTCTATCGCTTAATTTTTGTCGGAAATCTGGTTTCGCCTTCTGTTTTGGGAGGCTCTCTTCTTTTTACTTCTGAACTTTCTTCTCTGAATTCTTGGATGAAACTCATCTTTGTTTGTGCTGAGTTAATATTGTTTTATCACTTTGCAAAAATAATTATTCTTCTTTTTCGTGGTAAATTTGTGTCTTATTATTTCAGTGGTTAGAACAAAAACTCAAGTGGGTAGTAGAGTTTATAGTGGACATATGGACTCAAGTCAAACTCCAAAAGGGGCAGCACATTACGGTCATAACATTGATACATCAAGCACTATGTTTATTTTGTGTCATGTTTGGAACTTTCTATTATATTTTCCCCCTTATTTATGTCGAACATTTGGGCATATTGTAGCTACAATGTTGATTGTGTTAATTTTATCTCCTATGAACATATATTATAGGCTTGACTCGGAAGAACCCTATGGTCAACCAGACCAATCTTAGACTTAGTGAAGAGTCTGAAATCCATCACAATCTTAGTACTCATGAAATAGAACATGAGCAAGGTAATGTAAAGTGAATTTGTATGCACTTTTTTTAAACTTGCAAAAAACTAATGTAATTGTCAATTGTTAAGGTATTGAAAGTGATTCTGAAATTTCTGAAACTGAAACCCGTGGTCCAACATGTATGAAAAGTATTTTGGGTCGGCCTCTTCACCTTCCAAAAATTCATGTTGAGTATAATAACAAGGGTGATCCTGTTGATGGCGAGTGTAGTATGCTTAGTCATTTTTTGGGTTCAATAGCAAGGAATTGTCAGTATTGTCCAATTAGTGTGAAGGATTGGCGTAATATAGAGAACAAAGATGAGATTCTTGTTATTGTGAAGGTAATGATTGACTTGGATACTTTAATATGTTGTTTCAATTGATCTTGATGTCTTTATCCTTATTTTGGAGTATAACGATTACCTATATATCGCAGTTATGATTCCATGTTTCTCGCATTGCTGAGAAAAAGATTTTGAGTTATGTTGGGAAAAAATGGAGAAGTTGGAAGAATCGACTGAAAGCTAAATATTGGTATGAAGCTTCAGTGGAAGTTCTAGTGGACCAAAGGGATGCTAGAGTCACCGCTGTCGAATGGATGAAGATTTGTACTTACTGGAATAGCGATGTTGCAAAGGTTTGTGGTATTTTTCAAGTGGATACTGATTACTTTCATGTCTTGATTTGACTTGTTTTGAACCTGATTTCAGAAAGTGAGTCGAAATAGAAAGAATGCTAGAGCCAAAAGGGTGAATTATAAAAAAACTGGGCAAACTTCCTTTGCTCGAGTTGAATATAAAATGGTACTTTGTTTCATTTGTTTTACTTTCTGTTTCATTATTGTTGTTGTTGTTGTTGTTATTATTATTATTATTATTATTATTATTATTATTATTGTTATTATGTTTTGTGTTTTAATTAATAATATTCTATTCGTAGACAAAGAAAAATGGACAACCCCCAAACCGTGTTGAGTTGCTTCGTGCATGCTTCCTAAATCGTAATGGGGACTCCAATTGCACAAGAAGCACAAATGTAAGTCTAGATCAATCATCTCTAGTATTTATCATATGTAATATATAGCAAATTGATATGTTTTTTGTTTAGGGAAATATGCAGGAAGACACCAATAAATCCCAAGAAGATGTTGATGATCCAATTGATGAAGATGATGATCCAATTCATCAGGATGATGTATTTGCTCAAACCATTGGGCAAGACCAGTCTAATACCATGCAAATGACTAGTAAAGAAATTAGCCAATCAAAGACTCGCGAGACAACTGAAAATACATCCAAGCGTTTAAGAATTGAGGAACAAGGTGACGCTGGACAACAATCTCTCACATTACAGGTTCCCCCAAACCAAAAAACAGCAGTTCCCACTCTTAAGGTGATTATTCTTTTTCAACCTTTTAATTAGTGTGCCTCAAATTTTCATATGCATTGCCATACGATCCTATTGTTTCATAAGTATAACAAAGACGTTTTGATATTCTTATAAGGTTGGATCATATGTTTCTCTGAAAAGTGTAAGTGATCCCACAAAAATTGTTGCTAAAGGATCCATTGAAAGCATGGACCCAAGTAAAGATGTAGGCGGACACATTCTGGGTCCAAATTGGTGCGAAGTATTTGTGGCGGTGAGCATCGTTCATGAAGAACATTTATTTAGAGGTTATGGTAAATTTCAAAAGATTGGAGATGTAACGGGGGAAATGATCGCTTGGCCATGCACCTTCGTATGTTTCTCATCCTTCCAAATCATGTTGATACATTAAATTGTTTTATTGTTTGTCTTGCTTCTTACATTTCTTCATAATAATTGTGTAGGTAACAGAAGAAAACTAAGGGCTTCAGCACCGGGTCTCCTATTTTGGAAGTTTCGGAAGTCGACATTTTGGATTGAGTTTTAGAATAAAGTACTTTTAGTTCTTTTTTTCGAACAAAGTTTCTTTCTATGAAAAGCATTCATAGATAATTTTTAAATGTACACTATCTTAATATTATATTATAGTGGAATAATTTCAATGGCATCCATATGTTTCCATCTATGTTTTTTTTGTTTTGTAGATTATTATATTTATAAATTTAATTCTTTATAATGATTATTACGAATATGAACAAAAAGTAAATAAAAATTATTAATCAATAAAATATTTTTGGTTTGGTATATTATTATATTAATAAATACTAATTTGTATAATAATTATTACGAAATATGAACAAAAAATAAATAAAAATATAAAAATGTAAAACTAAAAAAATCTTTGATATAAAATTTAGCAAAAGAAAGTGTACTAAAAAGTACTCTTTGTAGACATTCCAAATGTCCTAAAATATTAGGTTAAATGACACGGCTAAGTGACTTTATATAATATCTGTTGAAATACCTATGTGTGTCACCACAATATATTTCTTGAGACACCAATCTATTACCACATTGGAATGGAATACACTTATTGAAAGTGTCTTGTTAATTGAAATGTATTAATACCAACTATAGTAAGACATTATCAAATGCCTCTATAGGGGGGGTTTTCTAGTAGTGACTATTTGTGTTACTATGATGTTAGCAATATGTTACTTGTTTATAATGAAACCATCCAGTGGTTGTACAATTTTACATTTTAAATTAAATAGTTTTAGGAAAAATTCTTATTAAGGGCGTTCTATGTTTCAATATTCCTAAAGAGGGCATAAAACTTTTGAAATTCCTCTCAAGGGCGTAATAATGCTTTTAGCCATTCAATATTTTGTTAATGACAAATGTACCCTATACTTAATGTAGTTATAATAATTTTTATACTTCCAGTCAAGACAATAAAGTTTTCTCTTTCCAATTTCATCATCTCCAATGGAATCATTCCCCCAATTTTCATGAAGCCAGAAATGGCTTTCAGCTTTGCTCTTAATTGTTCAGATAATTTTAGCTTCCTTACCCCTCCCATATCCCCATAGGCTATTATTATTTCTGTAAGAAAGTTTTTTTCTTTTTTTTTCGAAATAAGGTTTTTGATTCAAATCAGTTTTTTTTTCCTGGTTTGGGTTTCTAAGGAAAATCGCCTCTAAGGTCATGTTTATTATTTTTTTTAAGAGTATAGATTTTAATGTTCATTAAATAAAGGATACAATTGTCACAAATAAAATACTTAATGACTAAAAATATTAATACCCACTTGAGAGGAATTTCAAAACTTTTACACCCTTTTTAGAAATATTGAAACATACAATGCCCTTAGTAAGAATTTTTCCTAGTTTTTATTAGTATATTATATACTTTATTGTACAATTTAATTTTTCTTGTATTTTTGGATTTACCTAATGTCACTATTGTAGTATTAGAACAAAATTGATTATATACTCCTGAAGAGCATGTAATTGAATTACTCCATCGAGTTGGATGAATCTCCGTAGATTATTAGTTAACAAATACCTCGATATGATTATATGTGTGCTCCTGTATAGAAATATACTCTTGTAGAATGAAAGTAATTGAACAAAGATATACTCTTGTAAAGTAGACATGCATGCTCCGTCAAAGTAAATGCTCCCGAGAAGAATTGATTCGACATAGTTGAAATGAGTTTATTGCTGTTTTCAGAAGAGAACTTGTAAATTTTGCTAATGAAGAGTAAATAAAACATGTTATAGCTGATAAAATTTTACATCAATGTCAAAGAATTCGTGAAAAAGAGTCAGAAGTGATATCATTTACTTGTACATTAAGAATACTTCCAAAAGAAAAATTGTATTAAGAGAATTCAATTTCTTATTTGTTTGTGTTAAGAGATTACATATGTTTTACTATAATTGAGATTTAAATTAAACCAGAACTTTACTAGTTGCAACAATTTTACACATTTAGCATAACTAGTTAAGCCATCATAGTTTCAAAATGAAACAAGATTCATGTATTGTAAATTTGGAAAATCATGAGTTTCTTTCAAAAAATTAGGTTATCAACCGATATGCCGACTGGATAGCTACATGTATGCTTATTGTTAACTTGCAACCTAAAGTTTGCAAAATTTAATGACAGAGTGAAGTTATATGCGCGTGTATTTTCATATTCTCATATCATGAGAATTTTGATTAGATATTTCAGGTGAATGCATCTCTCAATGCCAGAATAAATATATCATGGGATAAAAGTTGAACATTGAGTGCCTATACGAGTAAAACTGAAGCGGTCCAACCGAATCATTCATTAAATGTTCTCAGTAATTAAAATCATTTCTTAAGGGAATGAAATACCTCATATATAACATTGAGGACAAGTTGAAACATAAAATGCATGAATCATGTGCATAAACCCAAATGGATAAATACAAATATTCTCCCATACATTGGAATTTGGTCAAATATTCCACCACAATGCATGCACAGATGGAGGCTCCAGAACAGGTTTAGAATACATTATGGGTTTTGAACCTACATGCTTAGGGATTATTGATGTTGGGGTTTTACTATTCAATTGGTTTATTGTCTGTTTGATGAGTTAGCTACTCTGAAAGGAGATCCATTTACTACTTGATTGGCTGACCATCAGTTTGACGAATTAGTAATCCCAACATCTAGGGGAGAAGTTATATTTTATCTCATGATGATCCTCGATAGTATGAACCTGGAGTTCAAGAGATAATGTTTAAATACCAGATTTTTGTTCTAACCAAAATGTGCAACTATGCTACATGCATTAGGTTGTTTTTTTTTTTTTTGGTTGAAAACATGCATTAGGTTGTTAATATTTAAAATTTTGATATTACGTCCCTAAAAGACCATCCACCTATTATTTAATTGAATGTCCATTTGATGAGTGGTAGCACCATCGGTTCCGATAATGAGGTTCCTCATAAATGAGAATGTTTTAGATCTATTGAGATATCAAATACGAGTGATTAAAATCCTGAAAAAGTTTTGAAATTGAATAGTTTCCCATTATGGTGAAGAAACTTCTAGAAGATATTTATAGTTATTTGGGAATTATAATACTTTTGAGATCTCATTACTAAAGAATGGTGAAATCAATCGGTAATAAAACGTCGACATGAAATTTTTTTAGACTGCAATACCTAGTAAAATACATGAAAATGAGGATAATGAAATTAATATATGTTGTAAGCGTAGAGATTAAACTTATTGGCCATGATAAATGAAAATACGCAACACACACACACACACATAGACTTGAAGATCTGTAAGTCGAATTAAAATAGCTTGAAAACCTAGAAGTTTTGACCAATAATATACCGGCTAAATTTTAGGTGATTGTGCGAGTGATTAATGTGCAACTAATTTGTTGCCCAAGTTTTTTCCAAAATTCAAATGTTAATCACGACGATATATACTCTCTTGTGGTGGATGGAGAAACATTTCTTCTATTTGCTATATCTGGCAGTAAATGAAGAAATAAAAGTGTGTCTATTGAATATAGTGATCTTGAAACATGATACTTCATATTTGATAATAATGTCTATGTGAAGTTCTAGAAGGATTCAATAAGGGACATGGTTCCGATTCTTGAGAAATTAATTCGAAAGAGTTAAGCAAGTTCTAGTGTGTTCGTGTGTCCAAACAAATATTTAGGTGCATACTTTTGAACGTTATAATTACTATTGTTTATGCACTCATCTATATATTTGTTTAATCGAGATATATTTTGTTTATCTGTCACATGATTGTTTGTGATTTTCTGCAAGTTTATATGATCATATTCGCATAATAAATTATTAAGATAGAATTGTCGATTACTTCCTCTATCCCATAATTATTGTCCAGTTTTACTAGCATCCAAGATTTTATTTTTGGCCAAACTTAACCGTATTTGTATTAAATCTTCCAAATTTACCCCTGCATACATGGTATAATCCGCAAAAAAACCCCATATGTACCGTCAGAAATCAGAATTGAATGATGGTGAGGAAAAGATCCGTTGTTGCTTCTGATTTAGATCAACTCTCGTCGCTGTCTGGCGGCCACACCCGTTTTCTCTATCGTACTCCAACGCTGATGACAACACCAGGTATTGATATTAGAGCCACTGCTGGTGACACAATTCTCGATGTCGTACCCAACTACTCCACAACCACCTCCGCCGGCGTGGGTGATAATTCCAAAAATGGTGAGGTTGAAATCACTTTTGATATCATTAGACAACATTTGGGAAAAATCTGAAGGATGTGGCGGAAGAATTCGGAGGTAAATTTTCTTCACTGCTTTTGGGACAAAAGTTTTTTAGCAAAGTGGACAATAATTATGGGACGGAGGGAGTACTATATTTTTGTTTACAATTTTATTAGTACCAAATTTTTGCAGAGTTTGACAAGGCTAAAAATTAGAGAAACTTATTAGAAAGTTCGAATGGCATGAATATCAGTAAAACTCATAAAGAGTTTATCATGATTATTAACCCTTCTAAGGAAGTTCAAAAGGTTACTAAATTCAAAGGTTGCTACTTGCCTGATGCAAGAACAATGAAAGATTTTGAGTAGAATCTTGGTCCAATTAGTTTGTTCCTGGTATGTTAATATTTAACTCGTGTTGAGCGTACTTGACTACGATCTTGATGTGCATGAAAATTCTTTTTAAGGCATTCTAACAAAAATGTAAACCAATTTGGTCATGAAGTACCATATTGTAATACTCATGAAGTATTGGTCTACTACTCAATGCATTGAAACATTTTCTATATTGATACTTTCGAGGTACGATAGTTAAGGACCTATGTTATTTAAAGCACACAAGATTACACATGGTTGTGAAGACGATCGTTTGTATA